CAGTGACAGCTCTGGCACAGGGATCTGCCCCTTGCGCTGGCACAAGAAGTAGTGAGCGGTCGCCTCACGCTGGTACCTGTCGTGCTGACCCTGCTGGAGGAGGGAGCGCTCACTCGTACGCGTTTTGTTCCCTTTGTAGGTATTTCCTTATCGAACGAGGCAAGAACATGTGCGGCCTTGCTGCTTGTGCGTCCTACCCGGTGCCGCAGGTGTGAGAGGAGAGCGCAGGCTGGGGCAGCGGGCACAGAACAGCCAGGACAGGTCGTTCAGGCACTTCTGGACGCTGAAACGAGCCACGTGGAGCACCACCCTGCTGGAGGTCGTCACCGCAGGCAGACCCCTCACGCGCACACACCTCGCGGTGCAGAACCACGCTCCTGTCCCCGGCCAAAAGCAAGCGCCGGACTCAGCCCCCTCCTCCCGGCTGTGGGGCAGCGGCCTCGGACCCGGGCAATGCCACATGGAAAAAAAAGCCAAGCGCCCCCGTCCTGAGGGCGGCCGTGTCCCAGCCAACGGATGGAAACAACAGGGATTTTTTAAATTTTTCTTTGAAGAATTTTCCCTGAAGACGAGTGCTGTGATTTCAAAGTCTTACCTATTTTAATCGAATGGCTTTAGTATTTTTTTTGTATTAAAATAGAGTGTTTTAATGCAGGAAAGATGGAGAATGATTTTCTTGCATGATTCAATGAAGAAATCAAGGTGTGTCAAAGGTTTACAGACACCTGATGGCGAGAGAAGGCTGTCAGTACGTTGTGCGTTATTTCACGGTAAAATCGGCCACTGCCTGAATAAAGACGACTCATCACCGGTGTGGTCTCCGCGTTATTGCACAGGTACGGGGGGCGGGATTCCATATCTACGTTTTCTGACCCCGGGGATTGCTGGGGGGGGGACACCGCTCTCCTGACACAGCTCCTGCGAGCGGCGAGAGGACACAAAGCGTTAAAACCTTAAACATTTGCTTTTCTAACCCGCTTTAAATCCTTAACTGCGCGCCGCCATTTTGAGGCGAGGGGCGGGGCGGCAGCGGGAACTACCAGGCGGCACGGCAACTACC